TTCTCTGTGCCAAGTTGAGCCTGGTCCATTGTTGGTGGGGCTCACGCTTTCTCTGGATGCACGGTGAATTATAACTCCCATAAATCAAGATCAATGCCCCCCTGAACTTCCCCAGTATGTTCTGTTTGTTATGGGGAGTCTGTGTGCCAAGTTTGGCCCAGGTCTATCATTCGTGGGGGTCAAAGTGGTCTCTGGATCAGAGTGAAGGTACTGCAAATCGCATCATCCGTGGTCCATCCTCCCCCAAATCACACCAGGATGTAAAGTGGGTCATGGAAGGGTCTGTGTGCCAAGTTTGCTCCAGGTATGTTATTTGTGGGGGTAGCAGTGGACATGGGAGCAGAATCAGATGAAGGTACTGCAAATCCCATCATCCATATCCATCCTCTCCCAAACCACACCAGGACATAAAGTGGGTCATGGGGGTTCTGTGTACCAAGTTTGGTCCAGATCCATCATTCGTGGAAGTCACAGGTGCCTGTGGAAGTGGCATCTAATCAGAAAGCTGCCACACACACACACACACACGCACACACATCACACATACAAACACTGACTTTTACATACATACAAACATTGCTCTCTCTCTCTATATATATATATATATATACAGACAGATGGATTTATGAATAGATGAATGGATAGTTAAATAGATGATGGATGAATAATGGGTGGATGAATAGATGGATGGATAGATTAATAAAATACGGATGAATGGATAGGTAGAAGATGAATAGATTGGTAAATTACATAGATCAGGGGTCCTCAAACATTTTAAACAGAGGGCCAAGACACAGTCCCTCAAACTCTTGGAGGGCTGGATTATAATTTGAAAAAAAAAATGTATGAATTCGTGTGCACACTGCACATATCTTATTTGTAGTGAAAAAACACTTAAAACAATACAATACAATAATATAATAATTAAACAATACAATAATTAAAATGAAGAACAATTTCAACAAATATAAACTTATTAGTATTTCAGTGGGAAGTATGGGCCTGCTTTTGGCTGATGAGATAGGACAGGGAGTTACGGATGGATGGGAGTTTTTCAAGAGTGAAATACTCAAGGCACAATTTCAAACAGTGCCAACAAAGAGAAAAAATAGGACAAGTGCAAAGAAGCCAGAATGGATGTCCAAAGAACTTCTAACTGTGCTAAGACTCAAAAGAGACATGCACAAGAAGTGGAAAAAGGGAGAAATCACCAAAGAAGAATTCAAACAAATAGCCAAGTCCTGTAGGGAAAAGGTCCGCAAGGCTAAAGCACAAAATGAGCTCAGGCTTGCCAGGGACATTAAAAACGATAAAAAGGGATTTTTTTCTTATGTCAGTAGGAAAAGTAAGAACAAGTAGGCGATAGGGCCTCTTCGAGGAGAAGATGGGGCAATGCTGACAGGGGATAGGGAAAAGGCAGAATTACTTCTTTGCCTCGGTCTTCTCACAAAAAGAAAGTCATCTTCAACCTCAGCAAGATGGAGTGGATGAGGGATTAGGGGACATCCAAATCCAAATTGGGAAACAAGTCGTCCAGGAATACCTGGTCGCTCTTAATGAGTTCAAGTCCCCAGGGCCAGATCAACTACACCCAAGAGTATTGAAGGGACTAGCGGAAGTCATTTCGGAACCATTGGCAATCATCTTTGAGAGTTCTTGGAGAACGGGAGAAGTTCCAGCAAATTGGAGGAGGGCCAATGTGGTCCCAATCTTCAAGAAGGGAAAAAAGGACGACCCAAACAATTACTGATGTCCAGTCAGCCTCACATCGATTCTGGAAAAGATTGTTAAGGAAGTGGTCTGCAAACACTTAGAAACAAATGTGGTCATCGCGAATAGTCAACAATAGTTATCAAAAACAAGTCATGCCAGACTAATCTGATCTCTTTTTTCGATAGAGTTACAAGCTGGGTAGATGCGGGGAATGCCGTGGATGTAGCGTACCTGGATTTCAGTAAGGCCTTCGACAAGGTCCCCCATGACCTTCTGGCCAACAAACTAATCCAATGTGGGCTAGGCAAAACTACGGTGAGGTGGATCTGTAATTGGTTAAGCAGATGAACTGAGAGGGTGATTCTCCCCAATGCTTCCTCTTCACCCTGGAAAGAAGTGACGAGTGGAGTGCCGCAGGGTTCATCCTGGGCCCGGTCCTGTTCAACATCTTTATTAATGACTGAGATGAAGGGCTAGAAGGCATGATCATCAAGTTTGCAGATGACACCAAATTGGGAGGGATAGCCAATACTCCAGAGGACAGGAGCAGAATTCAAAACGATCTTGACAGATTAGAGAGATGGGCCAAAACTAACAAAATGAAGTTCAACAGTGACAAATGCAAGATACTCCACTTAGGCAGGAAGAACGAAATGCAAAGATACAAAATGGGGGACGATGCCTGGCTCGAGAGCAGTACGTGTGAAAAAGATCTTGGAGTCCTCGTGGACAAGTTAAACATGAGCCAACAATGTGATGTGGCGGCAAAAAAAGCCAATGGGATTTTGGCCTGCATCAATAGGAGCATAGTGTCTAGATCCAGGGAAGTAATGCTACCCCTCTATTCTGCTTTGGTTAGGCCACACCTGGAATATTGTGTCCAATTCTGGGCACCACAATTCAAGAGAGATATTGACAAGCTGGAATGTGTCCAGAGGAGGGCGACTGCAATGATCAAGGGTCTGGAGAACAAGCCCTATGAGGAGCGGCTTAAAGAGCTGGGTATGTTTAGCCTGAAGAAGAGAAGGCTGAGAGGAGACATGATAGCCATGTATAAATATGTGAGAGGAAGCCACAGGGAGGAGGGAGCAAGCTTGTTTTCTGCTTCCCTGGAGACTAGGACGTGGAACAATGGCTTCAAAATACAGGAAAGAAAGGAGATTCCATCTGAACATGAGGAAGAACTTCCTGACTGTGAGAGCCATTCAGCAGTGGAACTCTCTGCCTGGAGTGTGGTGGAGGCTCCTTCTTTGGAGGTTTCTAAGCAGAGGCTGGATGGCCATTTGTCAGGGGTGTTTTGAATGCTTCTTGGCAGAATGGGGTTGGACTGGATGGCCCATGAGGTCTCTTCCAACTCTTTCAACTGATTCTCAACCTGTGGGTCCTCAGGTGATTTGGCCAGGTGTTAAGATTTCTGGGAGTTGAAGGCCAAAACATCTGGGGACCCACAGGTTGTGGTGTGCTTTCAAGTCGTTTCAGACTTAGGTTGACCCTGAGCGAGGGCCGGGTAAATGACCTTGGAGGGCCTTATCTGGCCTGGGCCTTAGTTTGAGGACCCTTGACATAGATAGATTGATAGATGGATGGATAGCTGGATAGATAGACAGATAGATAAATAAATATACTTACTTACTTAGGCAATCCCTCATTGTCCGAGTAAGATTGTCTTCCAAGATTGGTGTACTGGTGGTGGGTCCGTAAGTGACTGTGGAGCCCTATTCTTGATCTGCATCTTTTCCCGCAGTGAGGGCATCGGTTTCCAGATGGAAGGCGGTCCCGGTCGGGGTTGGCTTGATCTGCCTTCCTCTTGGCACGTTTCTCTCTTTCACCTTCCATTTGTGCCTCTTCAAATTCTACAGCACTGCTGGTCACAGCAGGCCTCCAGCTGGAGCGCTCAAGGGCCAGGGCTTCCTAGTTCTCAGTGTCTATGCCAGAGTTTCTAAGGTTGGCTTTGAGCCCATCTTTAAATCTTTTTTCCTGCCCACCAACATTCTGTTTTCCGTTCTTGAGTCCGGAGTAGAGCAACTGCTTTGGGAGATGGTGGTCGGGCATCCGGACAACGTGGCCAGTCCAGCGGAGTTGATGGTGGAGGACCATTGCTTCTTCCAGCACACTGACATTTGTCCGTCTGTCTTCCCAAGAGATTGACATGATTTTTTGGTGGAAACGCTGATGGAATCGTTCCAGGAGTTGCATGTGACGTCTGTAGACTGTCCACGTCTCGCAGGCCTATAGCAGGGTTGGGAGGACAATGGCTTTATAAACAAGCACCTTGGTCTACCTACGGATGTCTCGGTCCTTAAACACTCTCTGCTTCATTCAGAAAAAACCTGCACTCGCAGAGCTCAGGCGGTGTTGTATTTCGGTGTCAATGTTGACTTTGATGGAGAGGTGGTTGCCAAGGGAGCGGAAATGGTCAGCATTTTCTAATGTTACATCATTATGCTGTATCTCTGGCATTGGAGAGGGATTGGCTGGTGTCTGCTGGAACAGCACCTTGGTTTTCTTGATGTTCAATGATAGGCCGAGCTTCTTGTATGCTTCCGCGAAGGTGTTTAGAGTTCCTTGTAGGTCTTGTTGTGAAGTGCACACAGATGACATTGTCATCAGCATATTGGAGTTCTATAACAGATGTTGTTGTAACCTTGGTTTTGGCTTTCAGTCTACTGAGGTTAAATAGCTTGCCATCTGTCCAACAGATGATTTCCACACCAGTGGGAAGCTTCCTGTCAACAAGATGAAGTATCATAATGATGAAGACGGAAATTAAAGTTGGGGCAATAACCCCGTTTGACACCTGATTCCACCTTAAATGGGTCACTTTGGGACCCATTTAAGTAAATAAATATACGGATGAATGAATTGATTGATTGATAGATAGATGAATGATGGATAGATTGGATTGGATTAGATTAGATTAGAAGGATAGATTGTTGTTGTTGTTGTTGTTATTATTATTGTTATTATTATAAAGAATAATAGATAGATTGATAGATATCAGTACTTGAAGGTAGGCCTCTTGTAGGCCCATCACTATTATCTATCTATCTATCTATCTATCTATCTATCTATCTATCTATCTATCTGGATGAATGGATGAATGGATGGATAGATGGATAGATAGATGAATAGATGGGTGGATGAATAGATGATTCATAGATTGATAGACAGATTAGATGGATAGATAGATGAATAAATGGATAGATATATAGATTTATAAATATATGAATGAATGAATTGATAGATAGAGAGACCCTCCCCTTTGGACCCCTCAGCCGCTTGTCGAAGAAGAAGATGGCCTCTGATTCGAACCTCTTCCTGGATGAGAAGAGCTGCCTGGAGCTGCGGATGCTCTTCCAGGCCAAGGAAAAGTACGAGGCACTGATCGGGGAGGCCCGCTCCATCGTTGTTGAACAGGGACACAAAGTAAGTGTTTCCCCATATTTTTGAGGGGTGGGGAGTGGGAGGAAAAGGCCAAGAGATTGTGACTTAGTTTTGGGATTTGTTTCTCTTTCCAGATCCAGGAACTGCAGGACAAAATCATCAAACAGGAAGTCCTGGTGAGAAAGAGGAAGGAGGAAGCTGACGGGAAGCGCCTCCAGAAGCAGATCCAGATGCTGGAGAACCGACTCAATCATGTGAGATCATATTCATCCTCATCATATCAATAATATAATTTTGATATAATCAAATTACATGGGTAGACAACTCAATTGTGCAAGATCATTCCCAATAATATACTAATAATAGATAATAGAGAGATGGACCTAAGGGAGGCCTATTTTCATGTAATGATATCTGTCTATTTGTCTGTCTATCTATCTATCTATTCATCTATCTATCTATTCATCTATCTATCAATCAGTTCATCTAATCATCTATCTATCTATCTATCTATCTATCTATCTATCTATCTATTCATTTATCTATTCATCAATCTATCTATCTATAAATCTATCTCTCTAGCCATCTATCTATCTATTTATTTATTTATCTATTAATCATTCTATTCATCTATTTTTCATCTCTCCCTTCCTCTCTGTCTGAAAGTATAGATGGATAGATAGATGAATACATAGATAGATTTATAGATAGCTAGATAGATGAATAGCTAGCTAGCTAGCTAGATAGGTAGGTAGGTAGGTAGGTAGATGAATAGAAAGATGAATTGATCGATAGACAAATAGATAGGTAGATAGATAGACAGATAGATGTAGGTACATTAAAGTAGGCCTCTCTTAGGTCCATCATTCTATCATTATCTATGTATATAACATAATAATTAGATGAATACACGACTTATTCGTGTGAGATCATCCTCATCATATCAATAATGTAACAATTAGATGTATGCATGACTCAATCATGTGAGATCATCCTCATTGTATCAATAATATAATAATTAGATGGATGGACGACTCAATCATGTGCGATCATCCTCATCATATCAATAATATAATAATAGATAGATAACAGAGTGACCTAAGAGAGGCCCACTTTCATAGTATCTATCTATCTTTCTTTATTCATCTATCTATCTATCTATACATCTATTTCTCCTTCACTATTCATCTATCTATCTATCCATCGTTTAATCTATTCATCAATCTATCTATTCATCTCTCTCTCTCTCTCTCTCCCAACCTACCTATTGGGACCTGAAGGTAGGCCTCTCTTAAGTCCACCATTTCATCATCTATCTATATCAATAATATAATAACTAGATGGACAGATGTCTCAATTGTGTGAGATCATCCTCCTCCTCATATCAATAATATAATTTTATATAATTCATTAGATGGATGGATGGACAAGTATATAGATAGAAAAATATATGGACAAATGGATGAATAAAAAGAGGTAGATAGATGAATGGATGGATGGAACAAAAGATAGATGAGTGGATAGATGGATAGAAGTATGCATGAAGATATAGATAGAGAAATATATGGATGGACAAATGTAAAGAGATAGATGAATAGGTGGATGGTTGGAAGGAAAGATAGATGGATGTATGTATAGACAGAAGAGTGGATGAAGACATAGAAGAATGGATGAAGACATAGAAGAATGGATGAAGAGATAGACAGACAGATAGATAGATAGATAGATGGATGGATGGATGGATGGATGGATAGATAGATAGAATTGATTATTGGAATTGGATTCATGAATGGGTTGATGCATAGATAGATGAATGGATGGATGGATGGGGTGTGTAACTTATAATAACATTATTATTATTATTATTATTATTATTATTATTATTATTATTATTATTATTTTAAGTCCGTTGTTTGCTACGACACCATCTTGGCCAAAAATGCTGCCTTCCGTGAGGAGATTGAGAGCCTCCAGAAGCAGAAGTCAGCCTTCGATGCCATCTTCAGCCGCCTTCAGCAGGAGCTGGAGGATCAAAAGCGGGCCATGGAGGCCACCACAGAGCAGGCTACGCAGGCCCGAGAGCAAAGGTGAGAGGTCATGTGGGCATGCAAAGGTAACCTCGTCTAAAATAGCCTTCAAGGTGGACACCTATGCTCCAAAGATGGAGAGCCCACCATCTTTCTCAGGAAACCCCATAGAGTAGGGTCACCCAGAACCTACGCATCACCTATCTTGGTGTCACCTTAGATCAAGCACTAAAATTTAGGAAATACTGTATGAACACCAAGCACAAAGTAGCTGCATGCAATAGCATCCTGTGGAAAGTTACTGGAAGCGCATGGGGTGCAGACCCAAAATTACTAAGAACATCAGCCTTGTCTTATTCGACTGCTGAGTATGCCTATTCTGTTTGGCACAAATTTGCCCATGCTAAGCAGCTGAATATAGCACTGAATGAAACATGTAGAATAATCACAGGATGTCTTAAACCTACACCTGTTGGTAAACTCTACAAGCTAGCTGGCATTGCTCCCCTGATATGCGACAGGAAGTTGCTGCTAAATGTGAGAGAAATAAGATTGAACCCTGTGAAAGCCACCCTCTGCATGACTACCAGCCTCCTCCCAGTAGACTCAAATCAAGGGAAAGCTTCATGAGAATCACCACTCCTCTTAACGTCCCCCCAGCAACAGTAAGAGTCTCCCTCTGAGCAGCTAAACCAGGAAATTCCAATTGGATCCTCCAGGGGCAAACCAAGAATGGGCAACCTGGAAGTACCTGAACAGACTCAGAAGTGGAGTGGGCAGGTCAAAAGGGAACCTGGGAAAATGGCACTACCGAGAAGAATCTTGTGCGACTATGGAACAGAACAAACAACTCAACATCTGTATGCTTGCCCCACAATGCCCTGCACAGAGGAGGTTTTTGTCTAAAATTATTTAGCCACTGGTGCTTTCTCTATTTTATCAGTTTGATACTTGTTTATTTATGCAATTTTTTTGACACGAAATAAATAAATGTATTCATAACTAGCATCTTCCTGGAAGACGGCCATCTGACTTTGGTTTGATGGCTTCCAAGGAAAGAGGGTTCACTGTCTTTCCAAGGAAGTTCATAAGCCAATAGTTGGATCATCTGGAACCTAAGATGTATTTATTGATGTATCTATCTATCTATCTATCTATCTATCTATCTATCTATCTACTGATCTATCTATCTATCATTTAGCTATATATCCATCTATCCATCCATCTATCAATCGTTTGATAGATAGATGAATAGACAGATAGATTCATCTATCCATTAATCCATCTGATATGTAGATGGATTGATAGCTGAATAGATAGATAGATGATAGAATGATGGACCTAAGTGAGGCCTACCTTCAGGTCCTGATGGATATTTTTTGGTAGATGAATAGATAGGTAGATAGGGATAGATCACCTGGAACCTAAGCTGTATTTATTGATCTATCTATCTATCTATCTATCTATCTATCTATCTATTGACCTATCTATCTATCTATCTATCTATTGATCTATCTATCTATCTATCTATCTATCTATCTATCTATCTATCTATCATTTAGCTATATATCCATCTATCCATCCATCCATCTATCAATCATTTGATAGATAGGTGAATAGACAGATAGATTCATCTATCCATTAATCCATCTGATATTTATTTATTTATTTATTTAAAACACTTATATTCCGCCCTTCTCACCCCAAAGGGGACTCAGAGCGGAGCACAACATATACATGGCAAACATTCAGTGCCTGGGTATAATACATAAACATTAAAAAACATTTATCTAAATATTAAAATACACCATTTAAAATAACACAATTTAAAACCGTCCTAGCCATCCGCAACAAATCCAATTGGCCCTGTCATCTTTCCCATTATCACTTCATTGCCCTGTCCCGAAAGCTTGGTCCCACAGCCAAGTTTTTACCATCCTTCTATAGATGGATAGATAGCTGAATAGATAGATAGATGATAGAATGATGGACCTAAGTGAGGCCTACCTTCAGGTCCTGATCGATATTTTTTGGTAGATGAATAGATAGGTAGATAGAGATAGATCACCCGGAACCTAAGATGTATTTATTGATCTATCTATCTATCTATCTATCTATCTATCTATCTATCATTTAGCTATATATCCATCTATCCATCCATCCATCTATCAATCGTTTGATAGATAGGTGAATAGACAGATAGATTCATCTATCCATTAATCCATCTGATATTTATTTATTATTTAAAGCACTTATATTCCGCCCTTCTCACCCCGAAGGGGACTCAGAGCGGAGCACAACATATACATGGCAAACATTCAATGGCTGGGTACAATACATAAACATTAAAAAACATTTATCTAAATATTAAAATACACCATTTAAAATAACACAATTTAAAACCGTCCTAGCCATTCGCAACAAATRCAATTGGCCCTGTCATCTTTCCCATTATCACTTCATTGCCCTGTCCCGAAAGCTTGGTCCCACAGCCAAGTTTTTACCATCCTTCTATAGATGGATAGATAGCTGAATAGATAGATAGATGATAGAATGATGGACCTAAGTGAGGCCTACCTTCAGGTCCTGATCGATATTTTTTGGTAGATGAATAGATAAGTAGATAGAGATAGATGAATAGATAGCTAGATAGATCTATCTATTCTAGATAGCTAGATACAGATCTATCTATTCATCTATATCAATCTAGTCATCCATTTATCTATTTTTCTATCTGTCTATTCATCTATCTCTTCTCACTCTAGAATGGAGGCCCTGGCCAGTATCTCAGCCACACGGGAGCAGTGCTGCAAGGACATTGCCCAGTTTAACACTGAGTTCCGAGAGCTGCAGCGCGTCTACAATCATGAGATGAAGTTGAAGTCCTTCATCTCCATGAAGCTGATGGACCGCTCCGAGTTCGAGGAACAAGCGCGGAAGGAAGAAGGTGAGTTGAATCAATGGGATTCATCTCTCTGTTGAAACTCCAGTCAATGGTTAAAAGGATCAGTTGTTATTTCCTGTCTAGAGGATGCCAATTTATGCCATCACTAGGAATGTTCCAGATCCTCCAAGGCATGGATGGATAGATAGACAGAGATAGATAACTTAATAAATGTGTGGATGGATGGATGGATGGATGGATGGATAGATAGATAGATAGATAGATAGATAGAAAACTGAATGAATGGATTGATAGATTAAATTGATAGAGATGGATAATTGAATAAATGGATGGATAGATGGATGGATAGATTGATTGATAGATTGATTGATAGATGGATAACTAGAGAGATAGATGCATTGATAGATGGAAATATCAGATTAGACTGGATAATTTGATGGATGGATAGATAGATAGATAGATAGATGGAGTAGCTAGATAACAGAATAAATAGATGGATAGATTAGATTGGATAGATAGATAGATAGATAGATAGATAGATAGATGATAGAATGATGGACCTAAGAGTAGCCTACCTTCAGGTCTCTCTCTCTCTCTCTATATATATATAGAGATATATATATATATGAATAGATAGATAGATAGATAGATAGATAGATGAATAGATATTTGCATTATTTCTACCCCGCTCATATCAGCCCGAAGGCGACTCAGATAGATAGATAGATAGATAGATAGATAGATAGATAGATAGATAGATAGATGATAGAATGATGGACCTAAGAGTAGCCTACCTTCAGGTCTCAATATATATATATAGAGAGAGAGATGAATAGATAGATAGATAGATAGATAGGTAGATAGATAGATAGATAGGTAGATAGATAGATAGATGAATAGATATTTGCATTATTTCTACCCCGCTCATATCAGCCCGAAGGTGACTCAGATAGATAGATAGATAGATAGATAGATAGATAGATAGATAGATAGATAGATAGATAGACAGACAGATCATGGAATGATGGGCCTAAGGGAGACCTGCCTTCTGGTTCCCATTGATAGCTAGCTAGCTAGCTAGCTAACCAGCTAGATAGATGAACAGATGGATTATTAGACTGGGTTGGATTGGACAACTGGATGAATGAATAGATAGAGAAATAGTATATGGATGGATGAGATGAGATTGGATTGGCTGGATAGATAGATAGAGGAGGTGATCCTAGTGTTTCTCTGTAGCCCCCAGGAAGTGTAATATTCCCCTCTCTCAGCGCTGAAGGAGAAGACACAGGCCAAGTTCAAGGAGGAGAGCCTTGAGATCTACGAGGTGTTCTACTTGAGGCTCCTGAATGGATGGATAAATTGATAGATATATATAGCTAGATGAATGAATAGATGGGTGGATGAATGGATAGATAGATAGATAGATAGATAGATAGATAGATATGAATATATGGATGAATGGATAGATAGATAAATGGATTAATTGATGGATGAATAGATTAGATAATAATTCAATAAATAGAGGGATGCATAGATAGATAGACGAATAAATGGATGGGTGGATAGATGGGATAATTGGATGGATGAATGGATGGATAGATAGATAGATAGATGAACAAATGGATGGATTAAATTATATAGATCGATAGATGAATGAATAGATGGATGGATAAATAAATGGATAGATAGATAAATAGAGATGGGTAGGTAGGTAGGTAGGTAGGTAGGTACCGATAGATAGATAAATAGATAGATAGATAGATAGATAGATAGATAGATAGATAGATAGATAGATAGATAGATAGATAGATTTGCTGCGGTTGTTTATTTGTTCAGCTGCTTCCGTCTCTTGTTGCCCTCCTGGACCAGCCCAGACCAGAGCTCCCTGTCGATTGTGGCCAACCGCAGCTCCTTCAAAATCAATCCAGACACTTCAAGGATACCATCCATCCCCCTTGCCCTTGGTCAGCCCCCTTCCATTTTCCTTCCATTTTCCCCAGCATCCTTCTCTTCTCCAAGCTTTCCTGTCTTCTCATGATGTGGCCAAAGTACTTCATCTGCCTCTAATACCCTTCCCTCCAGTGAGCAGTCAGGCTTTCTTTCCTGGAGGATGGACTGGTTGGAGAATTTTCCTCCAGCACCACAGTTCAAAAGTGCCCCTCTTCCTTCGCTCAGTCTTCCTTATGGTCCAGCTCTTGCATCCATAGTTTACTACGGGGAATACCATTGCTTTAACTATGCCGACCTTGGTTCCCAGTGTGATGTCTCTACTCTTTACTATTTTATCGAGATTGGTCATTACTCTCTTCCCAAGAAGGAAACGTCTTCTGATTTCCTGTCTGCAGTCTGCAGTCATCTTCGTGCCTAGAAATACAAACTGTGTCGCTGCCTCCATGTTTTCTCCCTCTATTTGCCTGTTATCCATCAGTCTAGTTGCCATCATCTTGGGTTTTGTTATGTTTCGCTGCAACCCACCTTTTGTGCTTTCTCCTTTCACCTTGGTCAAAAGGCTCCTCAGCTCCTCCTCGCTTTCAGCCATCAAAGTAGGATCATCTGTATATCTCAGGTTGTTCATGTTCCTTCCAGCAATTTTAACTCCAACCTTGGATTTGTCAAGCCCCGCATGACCTCGTATGATGTGTTCTGCATACATGTTGAATAGGGAGGGTGAGTGTATACAGTCCTGCTGTACTCCTTCCCCAAGCTTGAACCACTCTGTTGTTCTGTGGTCTGTTCTTGTTGTTGTTCATTCGTTCAGTCGTCTCTGACTCTTTGTGACCTCATGGACCAGCCCACGCCAGAGCTCCCTGTCGGCCGTCACCACCCCCAGCTCCTTCAAGGTCAGTCCCGTCACTTCCATCCATCTTGCCCTTGGTCGGCCCCTCTTCCTTTTACCTTCCACTTTCCCCAGCATAATTGTCTTCTCTAGGCTTTGCTGTCTCTTCATGATGTGGCCAAACTACTTCAACTTTGTCTCTAGTATCACCAGAGTTCAGGTCTGTTCTTACTTGGTCATTATTCAGATTACTCAGGAGACAGACAAGATGGCTTGGTCTCCCCACACAAACCACCAAGAACTTGCCACAATTTATTATGATCCACACGGTCAAAGGCTTTGGATTAGTCAATAAAACAGAAAGAGATGTTTTTTCTGGAACTCCCTGCCTTCTTCCATTATCCAGCATCTGATGTGAGAGTTGCCAGATGTACAAGCTGGCTTTTTCTAAATCTAGCTTGTTCATCTGGCAACTCTCTCTCCATGTATTGCTGGAGTCTACCTTGCAAGATCTTGAGCATTATCTTACTGGCATGTGAAATAAGTGCCACTGTACAAAAGTTTGAGCATTCTTTATCATAGATAGATAGATAGACAGATAGATAGATAGATAGATAGATAGATAGATAGGTAGATGAATAGATAGATAAATAGAAAGAGATGGATAGATAACAACAACAACAACAACAACAAACTTTATTTATACCCTGCCACCATCTCCTCAGGAAATCAGGAAATCAGAAAACGCTTACTTCTTGGGAGGAGAGCAATGTCCAATCTCGATAAAATAGTAAAGAGCAGAGACATCACACTGGCAACAAAGATCCACCTAGTCAAAGCCATGGTATTCCCTGTAGTCACCTAGATGTGAGAGCTGGACCTTAGGGAGGGCTGAGCGAAGGAAGATAGATGCTTTTGAACTGTGGTGTTGGAGGAAAGTTCTGAGAGTGCCTTGGACTGCGAGAAGATCCAACCAGTCCATCCTCCAGAAAATAAAGCCCGACTGCTCACTGGAGGGAAGGATACAAGAGACAAAGTTGAAGTACTTTGGCCACATCATGAGGAGACAGGAAAGCCTAGAGAAGACAATTATGCTGGGGAAAGTGGAAGGAAAAGGAAGAGGGGCCGACCAAGGGCAAGATGGATGGATGGCATCCTTGAAGTGACTGGACTGACCTTGAAGGAGCTGGGGGTAGTGATGGCCGACAGGGAGCTCTGGCGTGGGCTGGTCCATGAGGTCACGAAGAGTCGGAGACGACTGAACGAATGAACAACAACAACACCATCTCCTCAAGGGACTCAGAGCGGCTTACATGAGGCCAAGCCCAACAACACATCAATAAAAACAACAAGGAATAAGCAAAATACAATTAATATAACTCACACATAGACAATAACACACAAGGATTAAAAAACCCAGATGTAATAGTTAAAACTTTAAAAATAAATGCTGGACATGATAGACAGATGATAGAATGATGGACCTAAGAGGGATCGATTGATCGATAGATAGATAGATAGATAGATAGATAGATAGATAGATAGACAGATGATAGAGTGATGGACCTAAGAGATGGATCTGGGTCTTTAGGTCTCAATAGATGGACCTGGGTCTTTAGGTCCCTGGGTCTTTAGGTCCCAATAGATAGATAGATAGATAGATAGATAGATAGATAGATAGATAGATACTGATAAATAGATTAATTGATGAGTGCATAGATTAGATTGGATTGGATTGGATGGATAGATAGAGTTTCTCTGTGTGATATTGTTCTCTGTAGCCCTGAAGCAGAAGACGCGGGCCAAGTCCAAGGGAGAGAGCTTTGAGAGCTATGAGGTGGCCTACCTGCGGCTGCTGAAGCTGACGGAGAACGGGAACATTGACCGCTTGGCCAAGGAGTTTGCCGAGAAGGAGAAGAAGAACTTTGCTGCCTTCAGCTACATCACCGAGCTCAATGACGACAATGAGAGGCTCCTCAAGAGAATCCAGAGTGTGCAGGTCCTGGGGGTTGGGTGGCCTTTATGACTCAAGGACCACAGACTTGGGTGGTCAGTGAGGAGGCTTTCACAATCCTTTTCTCTCTCTCTCTCCTTTCTTTCTTCTTTCTTCAATTCCTCATTCCTTTCTATCTCTCATTCCTTCTTCTTTCTTGGTCTCTTCCTTCTTTCTTCCATATTTCCTTCCTCTTCCATACCTTCTCCCCTTTCCCTCTCTTTCTCTCTGCCTTCATTTTTCTCTCATTCCTCTTTTTTTGTCCCTCCCTCCCCTTCTTTTCGTCTCCCATCCTCTTTTTTCTGTCTGTCTGTCTGTCTGTCTGTCTGTCTATCTGTCTTTCTGTCTTTCTTTTCTTTCTCTTCTTTCCCTTCCTTCCTTCTTCCTTTTCCCCTTCTCTTCTTTACTTCTCTCCCTTCCATTCTTTATTTTCCTTCCTTCCATCCATCCATCCATCCTTCATTCCTCTTCCTTTCTTTCCATGCATTTCTGACCCATTGACCATAGAGGTGAGTTGCCAGAGAATAAATCTTACTAATTCAGTGGTAGAGTTGGGTGGCCAGATAATAGGTTATTATGATCCATGGATCATAGAGTTGGGTGGCCAGAGAGTAGAGATTTACCATGCAGGATAGAGTAGATCAGTGGTTCTCAACCTGTGGGTCCCCAGATGTTTTGGTCTCAATTCCAGAAATCCTAACAGCTGGAAAACTGGCTGGAATGTCTGGGAGTTGTAGGCCAAAACACCTGGGGACCCACAGGTTGAGAAACACTGGAGTAGATTGAGTAGAGTTTTATATGTCATAGAGCTGAGTAGCTATAGAGTAGAGGCTTACTATGGAGGATAGAGTTGACTGAGTAGGGCTTTTCGACTCCATGGACCATAGAGTTGGATAGTCAGAGAGTTTCTCTTATCTGAAATGAGAAATACACTGATAGAGAGATGGATGAATAGATAGATAGATAGATAGATAGATAGATAGATAGATAGAATAAACTGATTAAATTAGATTAGATAGATAGATAGATAGATAGATAGATAGATAGATAGATGAATAGACAGATGAATGAATAGATGTATGGATAGATAGATAGATAGATAGATAGATAGATAGATAGATAGATGGAATAGATTGATTAGATCTGATAGATAGATAGATATATAGATGAATAGATATATCATCTATCTGTCTTTCATCTATCTATCTGTTTGTCTGTCTATGGATGAAGTGATGGATGTAAGAGAGGCCTTTCTTCAGTTCCTGATAGAGATATAGATGGATAGATGGATCAATAGATAGAGAGAGAGCTAGATAAATGGATAGAGAGATGAATGGATAGATGGATGAATGAATAGATGAATAGATAGATAGATAGATAGATAGATAGACAGATGAATAGATAGATAGATAGATAGATAGATAGATAGATAGATAGAGGTGGATCTAAAAGAGGCCTCAGTACTTACATAGATGGATAGATGGATCAATAGATACATTGATAGATAGATAATTGAATGAATTGATTGACGGATGGATAGATAGATAGATAGATAGAGATATGGACAGATAGACAGACAGATAGATGAATAGACTGATAGTTAGATGAAGGGATAGATAGATAGATAGATAGATAGATAGATAGATAGATGGATGGATGGATGGATGGATGGATGGATGGTAAAAGGATTGATGGATGAATAGATAGATGAATAGAGAGATAGATGAATTGATAGAGTGAAGACTCTAAAAGAGGCCTACCTTCAGGTCCCAATACGTACATAGATGGATAGATGAATGAATAGATAGAAAGATGGATGGATGGATGGATAAGTAGATTGATGAGTAAATGAGTCTCCTGCTCCTTGTTTTCTCCAGAACGAGATTGACCAGCTCAAACTGGAGCAGGAGAAGGACCAGGAAGTCCAACATGGGACCCTGAAAGAGATAGAGGTAAGGAAGGAGGAAGGAAGGAGAGAAGGGAATGGTGTCGGCCATTTTGAGGAGGACCATCATCATAGAGTCTTCCCTTCTCCTCATCTTCCTCCAGGAAAAACTCCGCTATGCGACAGAGGAAGGCAACCGCTTTGAAAAGAAGGTCAAGGAGAGCGGAAAGACTCTGGCGCAACTCACGGCCGCGGTTGACTTCCTCTTCCTGCAGATGGGATGTGACTCCGCCCCCATCCGAGAACATCTGGGGGAGACAGGGGAGGTCACCCAGCACAATCTTATGCATTACTTTGGTAGCATTATTATTATTATTATTATTATTATTATTATTATTATTATTATTATTTTATTATTTTTCCTATCGCCACCTAATGGTTGATACAAGCAATGACATCCTATTTTAAATTTTATTATTATTATTATATTTTATTATATTATTTATATCAGAACCTAGTGGTTGATGCACAAAATAACATCCTATTTTGAATTATTACTGTATTTCCATAGATATTATTATTCTTAATTATTAATTACTATATTATATTATAATTACTATTATTCCTATCACCACCTAATGGTTGATGCGAGAAATTATTCTTTTTAGGAATAATAATAATAATAATGTAAAATACAATATAACAAATAAAATATTATAATACTACAATATAATAGTAATAATAACATAATATAATAACAATAATAGTATAATGTTTATAATGACATCTTCTTTTTAGGCATAATAATAATAATATATAGTATTATACAAAATATTATAATATAATGTAATATAATAATAGTAATAATAATGTAATATAATAATAATTTAAATTTTTAATAATAATAAAATGTAAAATAATAATTTTAATAATGCTCATAATGACCCTTGGCCACCCATTGTACCCATTGTAGGCATCATAGAGAAGAAGACCAATGAGATGCTGCTCCAGGAAGCCTTTCTGCGCTACAAGGAAGTGGAGCCTGACCTAGAACCCGGACCGGAAGTGAATCCCTTCCTGGGAGGCTCCAACCTCCTCTCATCCGTTGAACCTGTTGCTGTGGCCCCACCCTCCCTCGGAGCAGAACCTGACAATGGTGCACTAGGCATAGGGAGAGGGCTATTATCATTATCATTACTATCGGCACCTAGTGGTTGATGCAAGCAATGACACCATCTATTATTATTATTATTATTATTATTATTATTATTATTATTATTATTATTATATTACATTATTGTATTATATATTATTATATTGCATTATATATTTATTGTTGTTGTTGTTATTATTATTATGATTCCTATGCAAACCGTTACACCCAATTTCAAATTATTATTAAATTACATTAATATAATATCATATTACCTATACAGTGTTCCCTCACTTATCGCAGGTGTTATGTTCCAGGACCACCTGCAAAAAGTGAAAATCTGCGAAGTAAAGACACTATATATATATATATATATATATATATATATATATATAATACAAGTAGCGTCTTAAGTGGCCGCTGCGTAAGTCCTACTTTCATTTTTTGTGTGTATTCATCCGCTGAGTATATCCTGACACCCTTTTCTTTTTAGGGAGCTTGACGCCTCTCCTGGGTCCCCCCCCCCCCTCCCTGTCGCAGCTCAGGATAGATTCACCTTGCTCAAGACACCACCACACACCAAGGCTGCAGGTTTTGTAGTTTATTGAGAAAAGGCAAAATCAAAACAGAGAAATAAAGTTGCAAAAGTTCAATAGGCAAAACAGAGTCTTAAATGCAAAGGCAAAGTTCCCAAGATCCAAAGGCAAATAACATGAAGCATAGTCCTTTAGCATTGGTTAAACAGAGTCCATGGCAGCAAGACAAGGTCTCCAAAAATCAGGATCAAAACCAAAGTCCCAAAGAGCCAGAAGCTTTCCCCAAAAGCCAAGGTATTTCCACAGAAGTTAACAGGGTATAAGCAACATTGCACTGACAAAGAATGCCCTTCGACCAGATCATTAAATATGTTCTCCCAACATGAAAGCATTACGTTGACCTCTAGCTTCACGTTTGTTGGCAAGGCGCGCGTTTCTGCAAACTCGAAATTGCAAACAGTCCTGTCTAATCATATCTCCACTACCTTCAAGGCCGGATAGCTCATTATCCTGGGCCTGCTAGGCCTGGTCACCCTGGGAACCAAGAGGCCCTGAGCTCTCAGAAGGAGCCTCCACCTGCAGCTGTGAAATTTCACTATCTTTATCTAAAGCCACATTCCTTTATCTGGGGAACAGAAATGCCGTCTCTTCTTCAGAATCAACACAATCTGCCTCAATAACCAGAACATGCTCAGAAATCTGTAACCCATCATCCTCATCGTCCTGAGAAAACTCAGGCTCAGACTGAGCCACAACACTCCCTCCCTCCCTCCCCACCTACCATTTGACCCTCTAAACCTGTCCATCATCCCTCCCCCCCCCTTACTTCCCTTCCTTCTCCCGCTTTCAACCTGGAAGGGCTCCCATCTGCAGGGGAGAGTGAGGAAGAGGAGGAGGAGCAAACAGGTGAGGAGGATGAGCTGGGTGAGTGGGGCACCTGCAGGAGGCGGCTTCCCAGGCTGGCATCTCCCATGATGCACGTGATAAGGAGAGGCGCAGCTCCAGTGTAAATATATGTTGTTGTTCATTCGTTCAGTCGTCTCCGACTTTTCGTGACCTCATGGACCAGCCCACGCCAGAGCTCCCTGTCGGCCGTCACCACCCCCAGCTCCTTCAAGGTCAGTCCAGTCACTTCAAGGATGCCATCCATCCATCTTGCCCTTGGTCGGCCCCTCTTCCTTTTGCCTTCCACTTTCCCCAGCATCATTGTCTTCTCCAGGCTTTGCTGTCTCCTCATGATGTGGCCAAAGTACTTCAACTTTGTCTCTAGTATCCTTCCCTCCAATGAGCAGTCGGGCTTTATTTCCTGGAGGATGGACTGGTTGGATCTTCTCGCAGTCCAAGGCACTCTCAGAACTTCCCTCCAACACCACAGTTCAAAAGCATCTATCTTCCTTCGCTCAGCCTTCCCTAAGGTCCAGCTCTCACATCCTTAGGTTACTACAGGGAATACCATGGCTTTGACTAGGCGGATCTTTGTTGCCAGTGTGATGTCTCTGCTCTTTACTATTTTATCGAGATTGGACATTGCTCTCCTCCCAAGAAGTAAGCGTCTTCTGATTTCCTGGCCACAGTCTGCATCTGCAGTAATCTTTGCACCTAGAAATACAAAGTCTGTCACGGCCTCCACGTTTCTCCTTCTATTTTCCAGTTGTCAATCATTCTTGTTGCCATAATCTTGGTTTTTTTGACGTTTAGCTGCAATCCAGCTTTTGCGCTTTCTTCTTTCACCTTGAGTAGAAGGCTCCTCAGCTCCTCCTCGCTTTCGGCATTACTGTATTTATTGAAAAACCGCGAATCAGCGAGTCCGCAAAAAGAAAACTGCGAAGTAGTGAGGGAACACTGTATTATATTACACTACATTATTAGAGTATATTATATTATTATATTATAATATATTATAATATAACTCCTTTTAATAATATTATATTGTATATATTATTAATAATAATATTAATAATTATTATCTTAATAGTGGATACTCCGTTGGATCATGAAAATCTCCGTGCTTTAATTCAAGAGAATCTGGAAAAAGAGAGAGATGTCGTCGAACGTAAACAGTCCTTATAATAATAAGGAAGGAGAATATATATATATATATTTATTGTTGCTTCGAATAAATGATGCTGTTTTGTTGCCATTCTTTTCCATTCATTCCGCAACGAAATGGCTTCCTCTGATGGCCAATAAGCTGAACTCAATTTATAAATACAAATTGTATAATATAATATATAATTATTAAATTATTATTTTATTGTTATTGTATTACATTACATTATTTATTATTATTATTAGAGTATTTAGTTATATATTACATTTATATTATTTTACTGACACAAAAACACAGTATGTCACAGCAAACGAGATCTATATGCTGGATTTCGTATCACAAAATCACAACTTGAACACTTCCCAAGTGTCAAGGGCTGTGTGATGTATTTTCGAATGATGTGCGCAGATCCAAGTCAGGTGGCCTTTTGCAGTTGACAGATCGTGATTTTGTCAATGTTTATTGTTTCCAAATGCCGGCTGAGGTCTTTTGGCATGGCTCCCACGGTGCCAATGACCTCTGGGACCACCTGTACTAGTTTATGCCAGAGCCTTTGCAGTTCGATTTTGAGGTCTTGATAGCAGCTGAGTTTTTCCTGTTGTTTTTCCTCAATGCGACTGTCACCTGGTATGGCAACATCAATAATCCAAACTTTTTTCTTTTCCACAATCGTGATGTCTGGTGTATTGTGTTCCAAAACTTTGGAACATCCTTGGAGCAATTAAGCCCCCCACCACGACAAGGTGGCACCCATCAGGGGGACATTTATATCATCATCATCATCACCACCACCACCATCATCATCAGAAACACAACGAGATGAGTCCACAGCAGACACTCTGCTGGCTGTTGTATCGGATCTCACGTCGGAAACTTCCCAAGTGTCTAGGACTGTGTGATGTATCGGCGAATAATGCGTGCAGATCCCAGTAAGGTGGTCTTTTGCAGCTGGCAGATGGTAATTTTGTCAGCACCGATTGTGTTTAAGTGCAGGCCAAGGTCTTTAGGCACTGCACCCAGTGTGCTGATCACCACTGGGATCATCTTTACTGATTTGTGCCAGAGTCTTTACAGTTCAATTTTTAAATCCTCATATCGTGTCAGCTTTTCCAGTAGTTTCTCTTCAATCCTGCTGTCACCTGGGATTGTGACATCGACGATCCATACTTCGTTTTCTAACACGATTGTGAGGTCAGGAGTATTGTGCTCCAAAACTCTGTCTGTCAGAATCCAGAAGTCCCAGAGGAGTTTGGCGTGTTCATTCTCTGTAACTCTTTCCGGCTTGTGATCCCACCAGTTCTTTGTCGCAGGCAGATGGTGTTTGTGGTACAATTTCCAATGAATCATCTGAGGAACGGTGTTGTGCCTCTGCTTGTAGTCTGTCTGCGCAATCTTCTTGCAGCAGCTGAGGATGTGGTCTATTGTTTCATCTGCTTCCTTGCAGAGTTTACACTTGGGATCTGTTGTCAACTTTTCAATTCTGGCTTAGATGGCATTGGTTCTAATGGCTTGTTCTTGGGCTGCCAGAATCAGGCCCTCCGTCTCCTTTTTCAGAGTTCCATTTGCGAGCCACAGCCATGTTTTTTCTTTGTCAATTTGGCTCTCAGTTTTCCCCAGAAACTGTCCATGGAGAGCCTTCTTTTGCCAGTTTTCTCTTCTCTGCATTACGGTATTTCCTCTTTGTCTTTTGCACTTTAAGCAGTTTACTACTATTGACTTCCTCAATGTTGGTTCTTGACTGCCTTTCACATAATCTGCCAGTGCATGTTTCTCGTCTTCTACCATTTGTTTCACTTGCAGAAGCCCTCTGACTCCTGATTTTCTGGGCAGGTAAAGTCTGTCGACATCACTACATGGGTGTCATGAGTAGTGGATTGTCATCAGTTTTCTTGTTTTTCTATCCAGATCATCCAGCTCTGCCTGTGTCCAGTTCACAATCCCAGCAGTGTATCTAGTGATGGGGATGGCCCAGGTGTTGAGAGCCTCAATCGTATTTCCGCCATTTAATTTGCTCTTCAAAACCTTTCTGACTCTTTGGATGTATTCTTTGCTGACCACATTTTTCACATGCCCATGCTTGATATTGTCCAACTGTAGTATGCCCAGATATTGATAGACTTCAGGCTGATTGCATTTTATGGTTCATGCGTTTGGCATCTCTATGCCCTCGCTGTGAGTCATTTTACCTTACTTTAATGCCACTGTGGCTCATTTGTCTATGCTGAACTCCATATTGATGTCAGTGCTGGTCAGTGACTGGATTTCTGGTTCTGATTTTCCATAAAGCTTTAGATCAGTGGTTCTCAACCTGGGGGTCGGGACCCCTGGGGGGGTCACAAGGGGGTTTCAGAGGGGTCGCCAAAGACCATCCAAAAACGTATTTTATGTTGGTCATAGGGGTTCCATGTGGGAAGTTTGGCCCAGTTCTATCATTGGTAGGGATCAGAATGATCTTTTATTGTAGGTGAACTATAAATCCCAGCAACTAAAACTCTCAAATGCAAGGTCTATTTTCCCCAAACTCCACCAGTGTTTATTCACATTGGGCATGTTGAGTATTCATGGCAAGTTTGGTCCAGATCCATCATTGTTTGAGTCCACAGTGCTCTCTGGATCTATTTATTTATTTACTTCATTTATATACCGCTTTTCTCAGCCCTTAGGCGACTCAAAGCTGTTAACAACAGCAATTTCAATGCACACTTTACAAAACAATTAAAGCATTTAAAAACAATAGCATAACAACAATTGAACATCAATATAACAAATCATTCACGTCTCATCAATAGAATCAGAATCCAATCTCATCATCCATTATTCCGTGTTCCTTGTAATCAATTACACTGCCTAATCCAACAACCAGGTCTTCACTTTCCTCTGGAATACCAATAAGGAGGCGGCCGATCTGATATCTGTAGGGAGGGCGTTCCACAGCTGAGGGGCCACCACTGAGAAGGCCCTGTCTCTCGTCTCCACCAGGCGTGCCTGTGATGCCAGCGGGACCAAGAGCAGGGCCTCGCCGGATGATCTTAATGTCCTAGCCTGGTTCATAGGAGGAGATGCGTTCAGACAGGTAAGTCGGGCCAGTACCGTTTAGGGCTTTATAGGCTAAAGCCAGCACTTTGAATCTAGGTGAACTACAACTCCAAAACTCAAGGTCAGTGCCCACCAAACCCTTCCAGTATTTTCTGTTGGTCACAGGAGTTCTGTGTGGCAAGATTGGTTCAATTCCATTGTTGGAGTTCATAATGCTCTTTGATTGTAGGTGAACTATAAATCCCAGCAACTACAACTCCCAAGTGACAACATCAATCCCCTGCCAACCCCACCAGTATTCAAACTGGGACATATCACGTATTTGTGCCAAATTTGGTCCAGTGAATGAAAATACATCTTGCATATCAGATATTTATATTATGATTAATAACAGTAGCAAAACTGTAGTTGTGAAGTAGCAACAAAAATAATATTATGGTTGGGGGTCACCACAACATGAGGAACTGTATTAAGGGGTCGCAGCATTAGAAAGGTTGAGAACCACTGCTTTAGATCATCCATGTACAGCAAGTGAGAGATTTTTGGTGAATTTTTTGCTAAACAAGACGTCCATAATAATAATAATGATGATGAAGATGATGATGATGATGTTGATGATGATGTTTCCTTTTTGGTGGGCGTGGCTTCCGCTGCCCTAGTCTCTACAGCGAGGGGGCGTGGCTTTGAAAATCGAGTCCACCCATTTCTTCTTATTCGTTCTTTCCCTCAGGGTGGGCGTGGCTTTGCAAATTGACTCGCCTCTCTCTTCTTCCTATTCGCTCTTCCCTCCTCTTAGCCCGGCCCCTTCTCCTCCCCCCCCCTGCCTTCAGCGAGGATTAATTTCCATTGCCGCGCCCCCTGGGAAGGGAAAGAGCGAATGGGAAGAAAGCGGCGGGGATGCTATTTGCATAGCCGCGCCCACTGGGAAGGGAAAGAGCGAATGAGAAGGAAGCGGCGGGGATGCTATTTGCATAGCCGCGCCCCCTGGGAAGAGAAAGAGCGAATGAGAAGGAAGCGGCAGGGATGCTATTTGCATCGCCGCGCCCACTGGGAAGGGAAAGAACGAATGAGAAGGAAGCGGCGGGGATGCTACTTGCATAGCCGCGCCCCCTGAGAAGGGAAAGAGCGAATGAGAAGGAAGCGGCGGGGCTGCTATTTGCATAGCCGCGCCCCCTGAGAAGGGAAAGAGCGAATGAGAAGGAAGCGGCGGGAGTGCTATTTGCATAGCCGCGCCCACTGGGAAGGGAAAGAGCGAATGGTAAAGAAGCAGCGGGGGTTATTTGCATAGCCTCGCCCCCTGAGAAGGGAAAGAGCGAATGGTAAAGAAGCAGCGGGTGTTATTTGCATAGCCTCGCCCCCTGAGAAGGGAGAGAGCGAATGGTAAAGAAGCAGCGGGGGTGCTATTTGCATAGCCGCGCCCACTGGGAAGGGAAAGAGCGAATGGTAAAGAAGCAGCGGGTGTTATTTGCATAGCCTCGCCCCCTGGGAGGGACAGCGAATGGGAAGGAATTGCGGGGATTCTATTTACATAGGGTTGTTGTAGGTTTTTTCGGGCTCTATGGTCGTGTTCTAGAGGCATGACGTTTCGCAAGCATCCTCAGAGGTAGTGAGGTCTATTTGCAAAGTCCCGCCCCCTGGGAGGGAAAGAGCGAGTGCGAAGGATGCGGCGGGCATTCGATTTGCATAGCCCCGCCCCGTGTGAAGGGAAAAAAGCGAATGGGAAGAAAGCGGCGGGAATACTATTTGCATAGCCGCGCCCACTGGGAAGGGAAAGAGCGAATGAGAAGGAAGCGTTGGGGATTCTATTTGCATAGCCGCGCCCCCTGGGAGGGAAAGAACGAATAGGGAGAGGGCGTGGCCTGGTTTGCATAGCCCCGCCCCCTTCTTTCCCCCTCATTCTCCTCAGCGGCGGACATGATGGCAGAGGCAGCGCTTTCCTCTCCCGTTTCTTCTCTTCCTGCTGCTTCTTCTCTTTCTTCGGAAGCCGAAGTCCGGCAGAGGCTTCTCCGAAATGCCAAGAAAGAGGTGAGAGATAAAAAAAAGACGGCCATAAATAAAGGCATTTTTGAGGCAGTTCCCTAACGCGCATGCGCAGAGGTACTAGCTCAAGCGAGCAAGGCAATTCCCTAGTGCGCATGCCCGGAAGGCACTAGTCTATTTATTCATTTAAATATCGATTCCTTTATTTCTTTAAATCTATTTTATTTATTATTACATTATATTTGCCGCTTTTTAAAACGTATATAATATTATAGTATTTTTTACATTATAATTGTGGCTTATGTTTAATTAATTATAGAATATGATAAGGTTTTCATTCATTTATTATTTATATTTATTTATAATTTATAATAATTATAAGTAAACAGATCTATATCTATATATAAATGCTCTGTGCATAATGAGTACCTTAAAAACAAAAGAACCCATGAACAAAATCACACCAAATTTGGCAACAAAACGTCTCACAACACAAGGAGTGCCCGTCACTCAAAAAATTGTGATTTTTGTCATTTGGGAGTTGTAGATGCTGGGAGTTATAGTTCACCTACAATCAAAGAGCATTCTGAACCTCACAAGTGATAAAATTGGGCCAAACTTTCCACACAGAACTCACATGATCAACAGAAAATACTGAAAGGGTTTGGTGGGCATTGACCTTGAGTTTGGGAGTTGTAGTTCACCTACACCCAGACAGCACTAAACAATGAAGGATTTAGACCAAACTTGGCACTAATATTCCATATGCCCAAATATAAACACAGATGGAGTTTAAGGGAAATAGACCTTGACATTTGGGAGTTGTAGTCACTGGGATTTATAGTTCACCTACAATCAAAGAGCATTTTGAACTCCATCAACGATGGAATTCAACCAAACTTGGCACACAGAACTCCCATGACGAACAGAAAATACTGGAAGGGTTTGGTGGGCATTGACCTTGAGTTTGGGAGTTGTAGTTCACCTACATCCAGAGAGCACTGTGGACTCAAACAATGATGGATCTGGACCAAACTTGGCACAAGCACTCAATACACCCAAATATGAACACTAGTGGGGTTTGGGGAAAATAGACCTTGACATTTTGGAGTTGTAGTTGCTGGGATTCACAGTTCACCTACAATCAAAGAGCATTCTGAACCCCACGAATGACAGAATTGGGGCAAACTTCCCACACAGAACCCCCATGACCAACAGAAAATACTTAAGGCCATCCAGTCCAACTCCCTTCATCAGAGCAAGAAAATGTAATCAGAGCCCTCCTGACAAAGAGCCATGTAGCCATAGATATAGATAGATAGATGTGATTCACACACACACAGATATAGTATCATAGATTTGAAAGGGACCTTTAAAGAAGGACAATGATATCTTGAATGTTCAAGGATAGGCCAACCAGACACTCTCCACATCAACACTGACAAAGAAACAGCAACAAATACTGTTTACCGACAAGTAGAAAGACTACACATATTAGAAACCAACACTTTCTCATTACTTTATTTTCCAGATCAACAGACTGGGCCACAGCAACGCGTGGCAGGGGACAGCTAGTTTATTATAAATATGTTCTGTGGCCCATTTTTATTTATATACTAAAGGTAAAGGTTTTCCCCTGATATTAAGTCAGCGGTACCTGTTGATCTAGTTACATTTGCATGGTTTTGAACTGTTACGTTGGCAGAAGCTGGGGCTAACAGCGGGAGCCCACTTCACTCCCCAGATTCGAAATGCCAACCTTTCGGCATATCTGCATATTATATCGGGGGGCCCGGTGGCACAGTGGGTTAAAGCACTGAGCTGCTGAGCTTGTTGACCAAAAGGTCACAGGTTCGATTCCAGGGAGCGGCGTGAGCTTCTGCTGTCAGCCCTAGCTTCTACCAACCTAGCAGTTCAAAAACATGCAAATGTGAGTAGATCAATAGGTACCGCTCCGGTGGGAAGGTAACGGCGCTCCATGCAGTCATGCCGGCCACATGACCTTGGAGGTGTCTACAGACAACGCTGGCTCTTCGGCTTAGAAATGGAGATGAGCACCACACCCCAGAGTCAGACATGGTTGGACTTAATGTCAGGGGACAACCTTTACCTACCTACATATTATATCATATTTATTTACATACTAGCCGTCCCCTGCCACGCTTTGCTGTGGCCCACATGGGGGTTCTGTGTGGGAGGTTTGGCCCAATTCTGTCATTGATGGAGTTCAGAATGCTCTCTGATTGTAGGTGAACTATAAATCCCAGCAACTACAACTCCCAAATGGCAAGATTCTATTTTCCCCAAACTCCACCAGTGTTCACATTTGGGCATATTGAGTATTTGTGTAGAGTTTGGTACAGATCCATCATAGTTTGAGTCCACAGTGATCTCTGGATGTAGGTGAACCACAACTCCAAAACCAAAGGACACTGCCCACCAAACCCTTCTAGTATTTTCTGCTGGTCATGGGAGAACTGTGTGCCAAGTTTGGTTCAATTCCATCATTGGTGGGGTTCAGAATGCTCTTTGATTGTAGGTGAATTATAATTCCCAGCAACTACAACTCCGAAATGACAAAATCAATTTTTTTGAGTGGAGAACATACATTGGGTTGTTAGGTGTATTGTGTCCAAATTTGGTGTCAATTCGTCCAGTGGTTTTTGCGTTCTGTTAATCCCACAAACGAACATTACATTTTTATTTATATAGATTATATCTTAGAATCATAGAATCAAAGAGTTGGAAGAGACCTCATGGGCCATCCAGTCCAACCCCATTCTGCCAAGAAGCAGGAATATTGCATTCAAAGCACCCCCAACGGATGGCCACCCAGCCTCTGTTTAAAAGCTTCCAAAGAAGGAGCCTCCACCACACGCCGGGGCAGAGAGTTCCATTGCTTATCTTATTATTTTTTATATGATATTATCATATTTATATGTATATAATATTATCGGAGCCCCCGGTGGCGCAGTGGGTTAAAGCACTGAGCTGCTGAGCTTGTTGATCGAAAGGTCACAGGTTCGATTCCGGGGAGCGGCGTGAGCTTCCGCTGTCAGCCCTAGCTTCTGCCAACCTAGCAGTTCGAAAACATGAAAATGTGAGTAGATCAATAGGTACTGCTCCGGCAGGAAGATAATGGCGCTCCATGCAGTCATGCCGGCCACATGACCTTGGAGGTGTCTACGGACAACGCTGGCTCTTCGGCTTAGAAATGGAGATGAGCACCACACCCCAGAGTCAGACATGACTGGACTTAATGTCAGGGGACTACCTTTACCTATAATATTATCATATTTTTATTTATATAATAATATTATATCTTATACTTTAATATTAATAATACTAACGATAACTTTATTTTTATTCCCCGCCTCCATCTCCCCGAAAGGACTTGGGGCGGCTTACACGGGGACAAGCCCGAAATACAGATTAAAACACACACAATAAAATCAAATCAATGACAACACATAAGAAAAAAACATATCACAATAACAAACAAACATTTGAAAACCATATCATGGCCGAACGATTACGTGCTAAATACGGCGGGCAATGGTTCCTAAAAGAGGGCCAAGGGAAAATGCAAGATTCAATTTAAAATCAATAAGGCCCACTGGGAGGATAATGTCCTTAGCCATTTAAAGTGTCAGGATTACAGGAAGGAGGGTCAAACTAAAGTGCAGGAGCTTTGGTAAGATCGAACCAATTAGCTGATGAACTGCCTAGTCAAATAGACAACGGAGCATCCAGGTTTTTCAATCTGGATAGAGTAGGTGCCGGTCTGATCTCCCTAGGTAGAGAGTTCCAGAGCCGAGGGGCCACCACCGAGACGGCCCTCTCCCTCATTCCCACCAACCACAAACGAGAGAAGAGCCTCCCTGGATGATCTTAGAGTATATGCTGGTTTGTAGGGGAAGATGTGATTGCGAAGATTGGGAGGTCCTGAACTGTGTAGGGCTTTGTAGGTGATAACCTGCACCTTGAATTGGGACCGGAAACATATTGGCAGTATTTGAACAGGGGGGCTAACACTCCCTGTAACTAGCTCGTGTTAGTAATCTAGTCATATTTTTTTTGTTATATTATATCATTTTTATTTATATTTTATTAGATTACATTTCTATTTATTTATTTATTTCTTATAATTAATAATAATAATAATAAACTTTATTTGTACCCCGCTACCATCTCCCGAAGGGACTCGGTGCGGCTTACATGAAGCCAAGCCCAAACTACATCAAACACAACATCAATAAACAATAAATAAAATACAAATCATATAAATCACATAAACAAAAAACAATCAATAGTGACATAAACAATAGATTAAAATTGAAAATATGCTGACATGAACAAGGTAAAATATAACTAGGATAGGATTTTTCGGAGAGAAATGAGGGAGCACAGTCCATCCTAAGCATTACATAAATTAGTATAAAACTGATAAAAATAGAAGGAGCACAAGCGACTAAATATGTTTTGACCAAAAACGGGCAAATGCTACTGCATTATCTGAGGTCTCGAACCACTCTTCCTCTGTGCATGAGGCAGGACATTGTGGTCAAGCATATAGGTGTGGAGTTGTCTGTTCTGCTCCACAGTCGGACAAGCTTCTGCCAACCTAGCAGTTCGAAAACATGCAAAATGTGAGTAGATCAATAGGTACTGCCTTGGCGGGAAGGTAATGGCACTCCATGTAGTCATGTCAGTGGCTACATGACCTTGGAGGTGTCTATGCTCTTCAGGTTAGAAATGGAGATGAGCAGCAGTCCCCCCAGAGTCTGAGACGATTAGGCTTAATGTCAAACCTTACCTTTACCAATAATAATAATAATAATAATAATAATAATAATAATCGTTATTTATATACCGCTCCATCTCCCCGAGGGGACTCAGAGTGGTTCCCAGGTAACATCACCTATAATATTTTATTTATGATATATTATAATATTATTTATATTATACTTTTCTGTTATTATTATTTAGAACTTTTTATATCCCATTTTTCTCTACCTCCGTGGAGGGACTCAGAATGGCTAACA